AATTCAAAACAAATATTTTTATTTACATCAATGCATATATTCTTTTATTTATATGATGACTAAAATTGTATTATATGTTACAATATATATATATATATATATATATATATATATTAAAGGAACAACCAAAAGTAAATGATGTGACAGAATGAGGTTTGAGAATTTCTCGAATCTTGGATTGTGTGTTAAGTTGGTTATCCCATATTGAAAGAGAGAAGAAAATTTCACAAATACTATGAGTATATAAGAAGAAGATAATATGTTACTTGAAAATTTGGGTTGGTTAAATATAACTTCCAACCACCTCAAATCTCGGATTGTGGTGCTAAGTTGATAATCTCATAATGATATAAACAAAATAGATTCACAAATAGTATGAGTATATAACAAGAAGATGTTGAATTAAAATTTGAAAATCTTTAAGTTAAATTTGACATTTAGCCACTATCTTTTTTCAAAAAATTCCTCAAATATTTGATTGTAATGTTGAATTGATTATCTCACATTGATAGAGAGAAAAAAATTTGACAAAATATTACAAGTATATAAGGAGAAGATGATGAATAATCAAGTTTGATAAAAAAATATTTTAGTGTTGGCTAGAGATGGTGTAAGTGAAAAAAAAAATTCACATGTAATTTTTTCATAAAGTGAACACAAAAATATGTAAAATAATATCTTAAATCATAGTTTTTGATGAGAAACATAATGTAAAAAATTATTTTTTATGTCAATTCTTACAAATTCTTAACCTTTTTGTGGTTCTTATTTGATTAAGATTCACAAGAAATTATGTGGTACGCTAAGAATTAAGTATTCTATATTTTTTTAAATTCAGATTGATTTTTGTCTATCCCATTTAATGGAGGGACGAAAGAATCACAATTGATGGTATGTATATGAGAAAAGGTTGAGATGCCATTGTTTTAACTTATGGGGTCAGATTCCTTTGGTTGCATCTTTTCATGAAAGGTTGCACCTTTTGGGACCTTATAAATACTTTGTATTTGCCTTTCTTTTAAAAAAATAGTTTTCTTTTCCATCTTCTTCACTAAATCACTCTATACCATGATCATGAGAAGGACTTGTAGGATCGTTGCCTATGATTCTTAGATTTGAGGAGGCCCTGTGTAACATCCCAACATTTTGAATACTTAAATATAACAAAACTAGTATCCCAAGATCAAACACTTACATTGCAGTGAAAATAAAATTCTAATCTTATAGTTTATATCACCATCTAAACTTACAATCTTGACGAACATACTTTGCTCTATATAACAATGTCTTGATCTGCACATGTCATTCTTTGATGTTAATCCCTATTTCTCTTTTTATCCAACTTTTCTTTCCAGTCTAATAGCCGTCTGGGTGAAAAAGTTTTAAAAGAGTTTTGGGTGAGTCTTAGGCCCAGTGAATCCACGGTTTTCATGCATGAACAACAACTTTTATAATAAACAATTTTCACGAAGCTTCATAAATTTAGCATGCTTTGATGAGAATAATATTTTTCACAAAATAAATATATTATATTGCGTGTCTACATAACAAAGCAACAACGTCATGGGAGATGTCCACCTCACACAACATTACCTGGCGAACTCACACAGCATGTCCGCACTTAAGGCTTAGACAAGCTCACAAAGCATGCTCGTCTTTACAAAATCATACCGTAGTACATCTCCATTGACACACAAGTACTCAAAACACATTATAAAATATCGAACTTTTCACGCATATATAGCATATCAAAAATCTCGAGAAACTTCAAACAGCTTTTGGATAATAAGGCATGCAACCATTTTAAAAATAATTCATGTGTAACTCACCGTGCATTTCATAGTCCAAACCGTTCTCTGAAGAGGCTAGCGTCTCCCGGTTGACGTCGAACTATATGTGATGTACAACACCATCGACTCTCATTACAACATCCATATAACAACCTAGATTTTGTTATTGATTAATCTTGGTATATTCATTTACATGACAATTGGATGCTTTATCTACTTGTACSCTTGCTTAAAGTAGTTGTATTTTGGACTAATAATGTAAGTCCAAGTTTTATGTAAAGGGTCAATTATGTAGAAAATAAATTGGTCTTAGGACTAGAAATGTTTAGAAAAATCCATGTAAAGACTAATATTGAATTAGACAATTGATGAGGGGTAACATTTGCTAAGTGAGAATTCTTGTACTAACTATTTAAACCCTTAAATTTCAGAAAATAACTCTCATTTTTCACTTTTCACTTCTCTCTCTAGACCAAAGCCCTCTCTTCACATAAACCCTAGATTTTGGTTTAACCTTCTCATGCATCTTCCAATTTGGTGATATTTTGAAGATTTAAAGCTAATTGATTGAAGATAATGTAAAGAAGCAAGATATGAATATATAAATTTCAAGATTTGTGGTCTAATTTGTTGATTTGTGATAAAGTTGGAAGGTTCATGTTAGGGTTCATAATGTAACACCCTCATTTTTTTTTGAGAATGTCATGTAACCTGAATCCATTTCCTGAATACATAGTCCAAAAGACGGCTAAAATATCACCGTTCTAATCGTTTACAGTGGAAGTCTTTGAATCCCCAAAATTAACTTAAGTTCTAACCCGCTTCATACCAGGTTAAGTTACAATAGATTTGTACAATGCTGCTAGGCAAAAACTAAAGATAAGATAACAATCTAGTAACTCTCTACGCGAGTCCCTTACCCTTATCCAACTTTGAACTTCCTGGCCCTGAGATGCATACTATAGTCAGCTTATAAAGCTC